GTGGTTGGAGGATTCTCAGGTCCATTGTGGTATGTAACCCGATTATCAAGTTCACGTATTATTGCATTGATTGTCTATATATAATGAAGTATCTATAAATTTAGTTTCAAATAGGTAAAAAGTTTAAACAAACAGTACAGATTAAAGTTGAGAATATGGAAAATCGTTAATTCGTACCTCAGTGTAGACGGTGGATGCACTGATATTTGGACCAGGCATTACACCACTAAGAAATACAGCAACAGAAATCTTTTCAGGGAAGGTTTCCATGGCTTTAGAAATGGCGAGTCCACCAACGCTATGGCCTACAAGAACTATTTTTTCATCAGCAGGAAGTGAAGTCATGAACTCCATTAGCGGACTCAAGTAATCAGAAAAATTTGGGATTTCGAGGGCCTGTTTCGGGTTGATTCCTGAACCACCCAAGTCAAGAGCTGTGACATTATGTCCTGAACATCTTATCAATGCAACAATCTTGTACCAGGACCAGGCTCCATGCCCTAGCGTATGAACAAGCACAAAGTGCTTCTTAGCTTTAGACTCGCTTTTCTCCATATATATCTTTTTGTTGGCCGGATCTACGGGTTTATAATAACAACAATAATTATTGAGTCGTGTTACACAGTTTTAAGAAACTATTTCAACTATGTGAAATGTAATTACTACAAGACAGGAAGACAAACTATTTGGCTGCTGAGTAAAATTCTTTGAGAATTCTTCTCTTCCTAATACAATAGCAAATACTGAATTTTTTGAAGTGGAAAAGGAAAACATTTTTGAGATTCGATCTCAGAACACGTGGAAATTATTTTTGATATCAATTACGGTGAGATTCGATATCAGAACCTCTACCTACTCTAATATCAATGTGTAACTGTATCACTCACTTCACTAATTCCATAACTTTTTTGTAGTGAAAATAAACCTCACTACCCACCTTCGACTTGAGATCGGTTTTTAGTGGAAAATCTCAATAGCTTAGTTCATTGACAACGTAATGTATTGTTGATACGAGTTCAGACCTTATAAAAAAAGATTAGAAGGTCACGTTGCACACTAGTTATACAAACCATGACATTAAAAATATGCAAAACACGACGAGACGACTCTCTAAAAAAGAGTAGATGGGGTAATGTGAAGAAGCCAACCAAGTAGCTTTAAAGTTTTTGATTGCTTCGAAATGCCTTTGAACAATGTTCCTTTTTTTTTTCTTTCTTTTACTATGTATAATAATAATATTTATTGATATTAGATTGCCCATCTCGTACGTTTTCTCTGTTCATTTATTCATTTATAATTATAAATCTAATCATATTCTATCGTATGGAGAATCATGTTGTATTGTTTTAATTTTATTTTAATTTTTGCCATTTTAACAAAGCAAAAGGATTCTCTTCCCATGCATGGATAAAAGAGAGCTTATTATTATAACCTTATAACGCCTATAACCTTCGACTCTTCATTTCATTTATTACTCTACCTTATTATACCTTATAATTTATGTAATATTTGTTTCATTTATTTATTCAATTTATCACCCCGTTATCTTTTTATTCATTACAAGAAAGAATTCCTCACCTACAAGTAGAGATAAAAAGTGTTATATTGTGGATGAGCTATTAAAGTCACATATGGATTATTATTAAACGTGTACGTGAAGCCCGACAAATTGAAATGATGATATATCATAATTATGTCTTTATAATATTGATGACTAATTGACTACCAATTCACTGTAGTCGAAAAGCAAAAAAATTGACAAAATTAATCATTACAACTTTCAAGACCGTTCATCATGTGATTCAATTCCATATGAATGATCTTCCGGTAACACCCCACTACTAGAAAGACTTAGAATTAGAAAGAAATCGTTTTTGGAAATAATCAAATTTGAAAACTTTGACAAAATTAAGCTAAGTATGAGTTTTGGGTCAACTTCAAACAATCATAACTCCTAGATCAAGATGAGTTAGGTGTTCTACAAGATACCGTAGGAAAGATCTTTGAATTATCTTTCCAACGCCGCCGAGTTTGCTCAGTTTCGAGCTTGTATGAGGGAGATATGTCCATTTGAAGTTGGGCTGTCTAAATAAGGAAAGTCAAAACAGGATTTTAGAAGGGTATTATGGTCTTTTCATTACCCAATTAATTAAGTTGGGGTCTAAACTGATTGGATTCAGTTTACGTTTTTTCAAAATAAGTTAGGGTTTTGAGAGAAGAGAAAAGAAGAGGAGAATAAGCAAGGAATCGTCAAGTTCTTGAAGCTAGACTTATGGATTTCGCCAAGAGTTAATCCCTACGAGGTATGTGAGATCACATAGCGTTGGGCTAGTTCACCCACACGCCAATCATGATTTTATTCAGCGAAATTGTGTTCTTGCAAGTATAGAAATTGAGTTCTTGATGGATTTGTTTGAAGTTTCTATTGGATTCTTGATTGTTGAAGTTGTTGAAAATTTCTTGATTTAAATTTATGAAATTAGATGTTGTTTTAAGTAGATTCTTGCATATTTTGGTTATGTAGTCGAATCTAAGTGTTTGGGGAAAGAACCAATTGAATCTAGAGGGTTTAAAATTGAAAATCGAGCAAGAAAAATTGGGGATTTTTGGGGAAGGGGTATGGGGCGCCGCGCCAGCCAGAGCGCCCCACTTGGGGTTCTATAGTTTGGGCTTCGGGGCACCGCGCCAGCCAGTGCGCCCCAACCCAGGTTCTTAAGCTTAAGCTCTGGCTCCCTGCGCCACTCAGAGCGCCAGGGACGCCAGGTTCTCCACCCTTTCCCACATTTTTCCGTTTGAGTTCCCTTGCAACGTACCTATGTTTTCTAGCTGATTTCTACACTCTAAGGTATGTCTAAACATCATGAAATCCTCCATAAACATGAGATCATGAACCTTGAATCCATAATTCAATTCAAGAAAAGTTAAGAGTCAAGTCAAGAGAAGTTCATAGAGTTTCCCAAAAGTCTTTTACAAATGTTTTAACTTTGTTTTAAGACTTGAGTTTTGAGTTGAGTAAAGAGTAAATTAAAGATTGAATTTCTTCAAAAAAGTATATGGGGACTATGTATTCCCAAATAGTAAAATGTTTTCACATTTAAACAAGAAATGAAACTTTGATTTCCAAAAGAGCCTTTGAGCTAATTTTTCAGTAAAGAGTAAATGCTTTCACAATTAAGCAAGAGAGGAAACTTTGTTTTCCAAGATAGTCTTTGATCTAAGTTTTGAGCAACCACAGAAATAAGTTATATTTTTAAACATAAGAGCTAGTATTATTTTGGGAGCAGTATTGAGCACCGACATGGGGGAGAGTTCAGACAACTCTCAGCCCCCATAAACCATGTAGTCATCTTGGGTAGAAAAGAGTCATATATACTTTTTAGATGATTCCTTAGTGCTTTTTAGCATAGACTAGTGGATCCACTTAGTAGTCAGGTTCTATACCCTCGGCAAGGTATAGAACGGCCCTAGAAATGTGAGGCAAAACGATATATCATCATAATAGCTCTTAAGTGATGATTGTCGGTTAGAAAACTCCCACAGAAGTATTTTGTATAGAGAATCACGTGGTAGATATTATATTGTTCAGATGCAAAAAGCATGTTTGCCATACCGATATATATGGAAGTCCAGCTGTTGTCAAATTCCAAATGTCAAAACTTAAATAGTAACTTTTTGTGGCATGATCAAAGGAGATTTTAGGAACTTTTTGTGGCATGATCAAAGGAGATTTTAGGAGTCTGTGGACATCCATTTACATCATTTCTTTGAAAAGCTCCCGACTTTTTAATTAAAAAAAAAGGGAAAAGAATTTGATATATTCTTTAATTTTATCATTTAGAGCGTATATATTTATCGTTATGAAAGAGTCTCATATCTGTTATACAAATGACTCACATATACTTTTTTCCTCTAATGAAAAAAATTAGTTTTAATTTATTTTTTTAATTTTTTAAATATATTCTTTTTGAAAAAAATATAGTCCATATGGGGTATATTTGATCCTCCTCACACATATTTTAATTTTTTGACTTTTTTGTTTCAACGACTAATTTAAATTTATTATTTTGATGCTCAGATTTATTTATGTTTCACTAATTTTCTTGTAAATTTTAATTATAAATGCCCCATTTTTTTATTTTTACAAATACAAAAACTAAATTACAATATAGCTGCAAAAAAATATAGTTTTAAATTTTTTCTTTACACTAAAGAATGAAAGAAAAAAAGAATAAGAAACTCGAATAATGAAAATCAAAGAATTAAAAAAATAATTTTTGTATGAAAATGATTAAAATATACCTTGAACTTTGCTGGAAGGATCATATATATACCCCTATATGATTTTTTAAAAAAAAATTAAAGTAAAAGAGATAAATTTAAAACTATTTTTTTCACTTCGTTAGATGAAGGGTATATGTGAGCTCCTTTTGTAATGGTTAGGGTCAGAGGCGTATCTAGGATTTTGAGATGATGGGTGCACTATTATAAAAAGGTTGATCTATGATACAAATTTGATCAGTTTGACATTTAGGTTTTCACTACTGAAAACCGTTAAAATTTTAAAAGTATAGGTCTAAACTTAATTCTTATATATATATATCAATTACCACTTAGAGAAGTGTTATCTAATTTTAGAAAGAAAAATAAAACAAGATAAATATAAAATTCAAATTTCTAGCATTGCGGAGAGAAGTGCACCTAGTCATAATCGCATTATGTGATACTTCAAGTGTGGGTTCACACATCTATATTCAATATTTTTTTAAAAATATAACACTACTATATATGATCTCAGGAGGGAACGGGTATATATGAGTCATTTGTATAGCGGTAAGGATATATATGAGCCACTTTTATAACGAGAGATATATCAGCTCACAAAGTTAAAGGGTATATCGAAAGATGCAAAAAGCATGTTTGCCCTTTGATCATTCTTTCCTCCATACAGATAATAGTAGTAATATAATACTCTTAAGTAATAAACAGAAACTAGGTCTATTCTTTGAAAACTGCTCCAATGGCAAATACACTTCAACTCAACCACTGCAACCAAGGTATTTTGATGAGCATGTACAATGCCACATTATTGCCTATTGCAACTTGGTCAAAAACACACAGAAAAATAGCCCCCATCTCTTCCAACAGCCCAGTAATGGCTCTAAATAATAGTAATATTGATTACAAAAAAGGTGTAAAGTACCTAGTTGACAATTCAAAGAACATGAAAATGCTGCCTTCCCAGTTTGTTTTGCCAATTCCAGAAGGTGAAAGGCCATCATTGGCCATTGATGGTTCCATTCCAGTTATAGATTTGAGTGGCCTCAATGGACCTGTTGAACAACGACTATCAACTATACATGCCATTAGTTCTGCATGTGCTCTATGGGGATTCTTTAGGGTAACTTTAACTTTCCCAACTCTTTCTTGCATTATATTTTCAGTTTTAAGTTAACGGTACTTGTCCCCATTAGATAAAATCAATTAATGTTCACTCAACTTTATTTTATAACTCAAAAGTTATTTAATGAGTTGTGTGTTTGGCATAAAGAAAAACATTTTTTTAAAAAATATTTTTCATGTTTGATTAGCATAAATATTTTGAAAAATGTTTTACAAATCAACTTATTTTTCTCCAATTTATGAAAAATGCTAAATATTTTTCAAAACTCTTTTTCAACCACACCTCAACTTTCCACCCTAACTCACCGATTCCCACTACTAATTCGGGATCCGATTCCTGATTCTCGATTTGGAATCTGACTCATGATTTCGACTTGAGACACAACTTTCGAGTACCTAATTGGATGAGGTTTGGATCCCGGTTTGAGTATGAGGAAATTTCATAATTGGCAAAGAGATTAAACTTAATAAGTCTCTTTAATTACAGTTTGTCTAGTTACGCTCTATAACTATAGTTTCGCTTGCTATGAGTATTATTTAAAAAAATTGCTTTTCAATATACAAATAGTTTGTATATACAAATTTTGTATTTATGCATTTAGAATTTTCTCAAAACTTATACAAATCAAATGTATCAACAAGATACAAGCTTAGGGTAAACATATACAAATTCTAAATTTATACAATTAGAAAAATTCTAAATTTATACAATTAGAAAAATTCTAGATTTATATAGTTAGGAACAAAATTATACAAATTCTGAACTTTTACGATTATGAGCCAAATTACACAAATTGTGGACGTGGACCACGTAATTATGATTTTAAGTCAACGGTGAATGGTAATTTAATTAAAGTGTTATTGTGTTAACTAATTAACTGGTATATGTTTGCTTATATGCGCAATTTTCCCTTTGAGTATCAGATTTCGGGTCAGGATTCAAGGTCGGATCCCAAATCCGATGTCGGGGTTGGATCACTAGTCAAGTGTCAAGGTGGGGTTCTGAGTTGGGTGTTGGAGTTGGAGTCGAGGTCGAATCTGATTCAGAAGTCGGATTTCTGGTCGAAAGTCGAGGTCGGATCTCGATTCGAAAATCAGATCTTGGGTCGAGAGTGTGGTCGGATCACAAAGTAAATTAAGTACTTTTAACCCTCACATCCTAACCATAGACTTTTGTTTACAAGTTACTTTCTTACGGTCATAAATATATATTTTGATTTATTGTGCATGAAAGTAATAAATGTGTACTTATTTATTACTCTTTTTGTTTTAATTTATGTGTTCCATTTAAATTGTGAGAGTCAAATCAAATTTGTCTTGACCATATACTTTTCGTATGCCTTTTAATATTTATTTATTTATTTTTAAAAAAAAAAAAAGATTTTGTATTCAAATCACTTTTGACAAATAAAGAGTTAGAATATCCACAGGTGACTAATCATGGTATAAAGGTCTCCCTCATGGATGGAATGCTTAAAGTCATGGAAGATTTTTTCAATCTTCCATTAGAAGAGAAAATGAGATATGGTTCAGATGATGTGATGGATCCAGTTAGATATGGAACAAGTTTGACCACTACCAGAAAGCATGCCCTTCATTGGAGGGACTTTCTCAGGCACTATGGTGGTCTAATTCCACATACCTATCACCTTTGGCCGGATAATCCTCCTACCTACAGGTAATTATCATCGTATCCAATTACGCTTGAATATAATATATTTAAAATAAACTATACATAATTTAACTCGCATGTATCTGAGATAAATATATATAAGTCGTCAGATACATGAATCTAGCGAATAAAAAGTGATACAAATGTTAATTTGATAAACTAATGTGTCAGGACATAATTACGATCTAAACTAGTGGAATATGTGTTATTTGAACAAAAATATACTAGAAAAGATCATTGGGCCAGGTAGGCTCTCCGATCTCTATAATAATTATAACTCATATCTTTAGCTAATTTAGCTCTTATACACAATTATTCAAGTCGGGTTATTTTATTATTAAGATAGGTGAATTCTTATAAATCTATCTCCTGAGAGACCAGAACATGATAATTTTTAATCATCTAGTTCAAGCAAAAATAAAAAGAACCAAAACGATTTTATATGGGAGTACAGATATTTACACATACATACATATATGATTATTTTTTTTCAAAAAAAAATCAAATAAATAATGAATTTTATAGGTTTATTCAACTCATTGTACTCCTTGGCAACACAAAAGTTGAAAGTTACTTTTATTTTGTCACATCCTTCTATAATTGATGGGATGTGTTCCTTGATTACAATTTTTTGAATTTTTATATTTTCACTATTAAAATCTTTATAGGTATACTTTATTTCAAAATGTCCCACTTCACCTATTCCAACGAAAATCTGACTTTAATATCAATTTTGTAGGAAATATAGAAGGAGAATATTTTTATTCAGAGAATGCTCAAGTTGTATTAGGCTACTTAAAATTATTTGAGATTATTACAATTATTAACTACATTTTTATTTATACTATTCAAAATATCAATCAAAGATCTTGCATAAATAACTAGATACATGTATTACAAACTTTTAAAATGCTTCTTGATAAACTAAGAGATAATATTGAAAGACTAAACATCGGATAGTATCCTTGTGAATGCATTAATTCCAAAATAGTTACTATGTATACATTATTTCAAAATGTCCCACTTCACATTCGAAGAGATCATAGTGGTAGGCTTTTTTTTAATTCCTCTTGCCTCATGGTCAAAGGTGGAGATTAGTAATTACCACCTGAGTAACTCCTCTTATCGTAAAGGTTCTAATCAATTTGTACATGTATATGTGTAAAGGGACGTTGCAAAAGAGTACTTAAAGGAAGTTTGGCAACTTGCGGTAATAATATTTGGTGCAATATCAGAAGGATTAGGGCTTGATCCAGATTACATAGAGAGTTCACTTGGAAATGAAGGAACTCAATTGATAATTTCAAATTATTATCCAGCATGTCCTGAGCCAAACAAGACATTGGGACTTGCTCCACATTCAGATCATGGTGGTCTCACTATTGTGATGGACAATGGCATTCCTGGCTTGCAAATTAAACGCAATCAAACATGGTACTCTGTCCCCAGTATACCTGGCACTTTTGTTGTCAATCTAGGAGATTTTTTGGAGGTTAGTGTCATTATTTTTGCTTTCAATTTAACTTAGATACTTTGATCGTGAGTGTCAAATAATTACGATACTTTCAAATAAAAGGATGGGCTAGGACAGTTTAAAATACGAGAAATTACACCCAATGAACTTAGAAATGAATGATTTTGAGCTCTTGATCCCGCTTGTCTGACTGACAAGTAGGGTCAAAAGTTCAACATCACTCATCTCAAAAGTCATTTTGGTAAATATCAAAAGGTTAGTTGAACTAGATGAGCCGAGTCAAAATGGCTAAATGAGCTACTATAACTCAACCTATCCACTTTTACTAAGTTCCAATTTCTTTACTTTTTTCTTATAATTTATTTAATTAAGAACTGGTCTTTTTTCTTCTTTCTTTTGCCTATACATAGTATATATATCATATATTTTGACAATGTTTCTATGGGTCAGTTAGGTCATATAGCTAGCATAAATCAGCCCAACTTTCTATAAATTGAATTGAGTCGGTAAAAATAGATTGAATTAATAAATCAATACGTTATTGATCCTATCAAATTTAGATAAATTGAGTGAATCATATTCTCAGGTATTGAGTAATGGAAAGTACAAGAGCGTAGAGCATCGAGCAATAGTAAGTGCGGAGGCGGTTCGGATCTCTATAGCAGTGGGTCATGGCCCAGAAATGGACGCAATAGTTCAGCCTGCAAGCCCACTTATCAAAGAAAAGAGTGAAAGCAATTATCGGCCCATTGTTTACAAGGACTATATTAGAGCCCAACAAAGCACTATTAAGAGAGGGAAAAGTGCCTTGGATGAGATAATGAACAACTAAATTTGAAGTTACGTCAATCCTCGTACATGATCATGTTTCTAATAAGCAAGTTAACTAAAGTGTGATGTGTGCTTGCATGGTGTCGTTTGGTTTGAATTCAAGTTATGATAAGTATGCTAAAATTATCTATATATTGTCTTTACTAAAAATAGATGGTGCTTAATATTTGTCATTTCAGAAAATCAATGCATGAATGACGAAATTTTTCTTTCTATATTTACCCTTGTGAGTTAGTATTGGTTTTGAAAGTGTGAATTTGACCAACATATAAAAACTAAATGATTAATTCATGTTCATTGGTAAATTTAATTAATAAAAAATCAATTAATTTATGGTCATTTATTGAAAAATTTACTTTAAAAATACTAAATAAGGGTACAATGGTAAACTCACATAGTTTCTTAAGAAGCGTACAAGAGCATAGAGCATCGAGCAGTAATCAATGCAAATTTAATATTTGGAGATTAAAATTATATTTGAACATGTATTCCATTTGAAAAAACGTCAAACTAATAAAATTTTGAAACTTGAAAAACTCAAAATTTAATATTTAAAAATTATATTAAAAAATACTATATTTCACAATAATTAAAAAATATTAAAAAATTATAATAAAAAATAAATTAATTTGAATCTCAAAATTTAGAAAATGCTACATAAATTTATGAATTAGGCATGAAATTTTATGTTTTCTCTAAATAAATTTTATATATTTTAAAGATCACATAAAAAATATTGTATGCAACAATAAAATTTGAAAGAAGCTTACATAAATTAAAGTAAAAATTAGGCAAATCACATAGTATAAGAAAGAAATTACTTCCTATTCCTACTCTTTCATTAATTACCAAAAATTTCTTTTTTAGTGTCTTTCGGATACATAATATTGCAAGCGGATACTTTAATTAATAAAGGGCGGATACTTAAATTATTAAGTTGTTGTTATCAGTTTAATGCGTTAAATAAGGGATTAAAACGAAAATTATAATTGACTCCCACAAATCACGCGTACGTTTCTTCCTTCAACCAATCAGTCGTTCATAAACCTCTAACTGAATTATAATTTTTAAATTTCAAATTGTGAAATCTTCTCCCTGTTCTTTGAAAAAACAGTAAAAGTTTGATTCAAACAATTTTGGAACGCAATTTTGTGAAGATTCGAAATGAATATTTCGATCTTGTTAAGGTATTCTGGATCATGGGAAAGTGATGTTATGAGCGATACAGAAGTGATGGGATAGTGGTTGGGGAAAATATTTCGTTCGTGAATCTTATTTACATTGTTTGTCTTGAGAGAAAAACTTGTTCATGTGGTAGATTTCAACATGACGAGATACCTTGTGCGCACGCAACGGCCGTTTTGAAGAAGAAGAATATTAAAGATGTAGACCCCTACTGCTTTGATTACTATAAACATGATGCATTAACAAATACTAATGCGGTTCCAATGGAACCAATGCCAGACAAAAGTGATTGGACAACTCCAGAATGTGTTTTGGAAGAAGTCGTCTTGCCACCAAGATACAAAAAAATGCCTAGTAGACCAAGAAAAAAGAAGAAGAAAAATCCAGACGAAAAGCTAAGCACAAAAATGAATTGTTGTGGACTTTGTTGGACAAGAAGGTCACAATATAAGAACATGTACTTTCTTTCCAAAAGATTCTTGATTATTACTTTTTAAGAATTTGTATGCTTCATGTGTACTAATTTTCTGGATATTTTGAATCTGCTAATAAGATATTATGCTTCATGTGTACTAAAACATATTGTATCATGTGTTGGGGTATATAACAATTAAGTTATTTGATAATTTATTTAGTATCATATACGTTATAGTTCAACTATATTTTGTATCTGATAATAAAAAAATGTTAGTTGTTATGATTTAAATCAATGTTACAAGATTCAACCTGTTAAAGGATACTAAATATATTGAAACTTAATTGTTTTGTACCAATTGTAACATATACACAAATTTGTTATTTGATAATAAAATGTGTATCATATACATAATAATTTTATGGATATTGTGTATCTGATAATAATATAGTATCATATGTTGTGATTTACATCAAGGCTACCACATGTTAATAGATACTAAATAAATTGAAAATTAGTTGTTGTTTATCAAGTGTAAAATATATAGTATTAGATATTCTATAGCTGATAGTTATATTGTATCAGCAGTATTGGTATATAAGATACAATTTGTAACAAGATACTATATAATAAACTATATATATTTGAACAATAATTAAAATTGAAATACAATTTTTGACAAAAACAGTCTTCAAATTAATAATTACTTAGAATAATTGTGTTGAAACGGGAAGAAATATTACAAATTACTAATTAACGCATCTCAATACAATAAAACATAACTATTCTACATTAATCATTCCGCTTTCTGCTGGTGTAGTGTAGCCACTCTTCGGCCTTGTAGGATCATTATTATCGCTAACATATCCCGCCTTGAACTTGTCCATACCATACTTCCATAACAGTGTTGCATATCTATTGCAAAGATAGTCACTCCGAAAACTAATAGATGGCATGTTGATTTCGTCGCTCAGGTATTCAGCTCAAGTTGCATTTGGGGATATTAGGTATGGGGCAAATATGGTATCCTTGAATAACTCAATACCTTGGTCCTTTATTGATACATTCATACCTACAGCTAGAAATGATGTACTATTACAGAAATATAATGATGTTCGCTTTGATTGATACTAAATAACAAGAATACATAAGAGGTACACAAAACCAATTATACTGTATATACGGTGACATAATTCAATGTGATACAAATATAAATTCTCATAACTATTTTTATTCTTTTAAGTATCATATAGAGAATTATCATTGACTATGATGCACAGTACCAAGATCAACCTAGTTGCCAAATTGTGAATTAAGCAAGTATCTTAGATACAGTAATGTTCATTTCATTTGATACTAAATAACAACAAAAACATAAGAAAACATAAGAGGTACACAAATTCAATTATTCCTTATATATAGTGACAAAAAACAACCTACAAAGTAAATGTGATTTGAGTACTTAACTTCGATACAGTTCTCTTCACTTTTGATACTGTTATACCCCATTTTAACCAAGGTCAAATTAGTGTACAACATATTGGTGATTTCCAAATTAATTAACTTAAGAAGTCGCCACCTAATTATTTTTAAGGTAAATTAGGATACCTAAATTATTAACTAAGTAATACTAAAATGACTTCAATTAAATGGTCTACTAACTTAAGATTCTAGGTAAGGGTTCTAATTATCCTAAAGAGAAGGGTAAGGCATCCTTTAAGATCCGTTAAAGACGGTTACCGGCCAAACTTAGGTTAATTAGAGAGAAAATAAAATAACCATTAAAAGCTAAGAAAAAACTAGTATTAATTAAATCATGGCAAAGTAACCTAAAAAAGGTTAAAGTATAAAAACCTTAAAATATACTAACTTCATATAGAAAGATCTAAAAGAATGAAATGAAACAACCATTAATTTAAACTTGATTTTTTAGCGAGAAAAAAGGAGTTTGAATGAAATATGCATAATTTGTTATCTTCAAAATAGCTGGCCAAGTCAAATGCTTTTTGTTTAAGAAAGAATTTTTTTTTTATGAAATTGAATTAACAAGGAAATCTTGAAGCTAAAGATAATGAAATATATTTTGCCTTGATAAAAAATAAAAGTTTTTATCCAATTGAAAGCCTTTTATCTTCAAATTCGCCTACTCATAATTCCCAAAAAGAGTTGTGTTTTAAAGCTCTAGACATATCAACATTTTATAAAGTTAACATTTTAAAAATATAAACAAAGACATACAAATCGGCCCTTTTTAAATTCTCAAAATAAATCACTTTAGAGTTCAAATACTTACACTTTTGTTCTTAATTTTAACAAAGGTTTGTGGAAAGTGTTAGAAAAGTTGTGTCTTAGTTTATGAAAAAGTACAGCAACATATATATTCATTAAAAAAGGGTCCAACTTCTTTGCAAAACAAAACTTTCTCAAACTAACAAACGAGTTAAGCAACAAAAGAACTTAATTTATAGGTCATTGTTCTAAGCCAAATTAATATATTAAACCCAATATCTAGAGGAGGGGAAGGTGAGCTACTAGGTTTGCTTAAGTTCTTAGTTAATTAGTTTGCATAAGTTCAAATATAAATTGAAACGAAACATAAATATAGGTGCCAAAAGAAGTGTAAAATGTAAGTCAAAGATAACAACATATATGTATGCATAAAAAATATAAAGCTTTGAGATAAGGAGGAAATGCGGGATTTTCTTTTGGAATGAGTGAATCATTCTAGACACGAGCTAAATGCAAGATAGGTCACTTCTCTAATTTGGATAGAGGTGGAGTCATATTGCAACTCCATACGCGCCCCCGAGTGTACATGTAAATAAAAAGAAAGTAAAGAGGAGATTAGTGAGACGATTCGACTTTAAACGATAGTGAAAATCAAATGTAGAACTAAGCAAAATTATACAATGTATTTATTATTACAAACACAAGATATGCAAGCATCAAATAAAATACTCATTAGCTATTGAAGACTTCTGAACCAACTAAAAAAAATAGCTAAATCATAAAATATATATATTGAACATAAGCTAAACCTCAAATTCTTCATATTCAACTAGGAAGAAATAATTCATAGCCTTCATAATATCAAACAGGCTTCCATGCATATCTCTAATAGAATATAAAAGAATAAAAATTTACACTCATATAACGTGAACAATGAGGCTACAACCATGGCTCTTTTGATATTGATTTCTTTATACATAGCCAACACATAATATTTTTTTTAAAAATAAAATAAAAGAAGAAACGAAACAAAAAACGATTATACACTAACAGAGAGTTAAAAGAAGGCTTAAGCTCAAGTTTTACATATAGCTACATGAGGGAAATCATATGCAGTGTGAGATAATGATATGCTAACACTTATCACTTAATTTCTAATTATGCCAAAATAGAAGCTATACCCTTTAGGTATA